AAAATGAGACCAATCGGACCAATCACCGCAGATTAGCGTCACGCAAAGGAGGGGTTTGGAAAAATGAATTGTTGAGCGAATCGTTTGGGAGTGGTTGAGTAAGTAAGGTAAAAATAAATACATATTATAATAAGACAATGAAAGTGTTTTTTGACCTTGCATGCATGTCAACCTGTTGTTGGGGACTCCAAAATATGAACCTTTCATTACCCATAATAGGGGCACTTTGGTTCATGCCATTTTTGAATTGATCTCCATGAAAGTCATTAGAGTTATTCTTATGTGAATTTAAAGGAACACTCCACAATTTTTTTACATCGTGTACTAAGACTGACGGAAAATGAAAAGTTGCGATTTTCTAGGCCGATATGGCTAGGAACTATACTCTCATTCCGGCGTAATAATCAAAGATCGGCTGAATGGATTCGAAAACGGTAAAACTCAACTGTTTAACTCTAGGGGAGTTGGAAAATGAGCCTATTTTAAAAAATAGTGGAGTGTTCCTTTAAGACATTCATTAAAAAATACACCAGATGTCCACCCCTGTAAGTTTCAAGACCAGTCAGGTCTGTTATGTCAAACTGTCTATGATATCATCTAACAAAGAGCTTTTTAATTTAAATGAAAAGTGAATAGAAAATGTTCCATTCAATGAGAACAAGCTCTGAATCTGAAACTGCCATTTTTCCTCTGACATCATTTGATAACTAAAAGAGACTGTCCCATTTCCATCCAATATGCTGAAGATGTCAGAGGGCAACTATGTAGGGCTCATTCTAGAAAAAAACTGTCACATTTACTCAGATGTTTCACAATGATGAGTGCAATAGGTCATACTATAATCCTTACAGCCAATTCAGAAAAATAAGTATTTCCTGACTTTTTTTTCCAGGTATTCTGTATAATCTGCCACCAAAAGTCTAAACACAAAACATGTTTCAAAAATATACATTTTGCATATCGGCAGTGTACCTGTTGTGTCTGAATGATATTTATTGCAACCACTTATAAGATCTATTTAAGGGATAGTTCACCTAAAATGGAAAAATCTGTCATCATTTACTCACTCTCATGCATGTCGTTCCAAACCTGTCAAACTTTTTTGTCTATAAAATAAAACTCATTGGCGTCCAGTGTTGTTTTGGACCTCACTAACTTTATGGACCTTATAAAAAAATAATCATTTTGTGTTCCACAGAAGAATGCAAGTTATACAGTTTTAGAACGAAATAAGGGTGATTAAATCATTTTCATTTTTTGGTGAACAATCACTTTAAGAGAAAAAGCATGACTTATGCAATATTTTAGTAAACTAAAGACATAGTTAGATTGCAGAGCCATGTTCCTATAATCAACAAAGCTATAGTGACATTTTAACTGTATAGCCTGAGGAGAACTGGCCCCCTGGTGTAGAATGGTGTCTCTTAAGTTTTTTTTTTTTCTTCATTATCCCAGCATTAAATTAAGTTTTCTGTTCCTTGCCACAGTGGCTTTTGGCTTGCACACTAGGGGACTAAAGATAAAAGTATTATTATGGTTGAACTGCTTAGTAGTGGGCGATATGCTCAAAAACTTAAACCTTGATATGCATCATTTTAAATATGACAATGAAACATATCACATAATAAGTGTGTCACTGCACCAAAATTGTATAAATTCAAACCAAAGCCATACAATTCTAATCCTCAATATCACTGCAAAATGGATTACTAACTTTAGTTGACAATTATTACATACATCCAACTTAAATGTTATAAATACATTAATGTGTATACTCAAGTTACATTAGCAAATCTCAACTGGTTGATTGTTAATGTCATTGTGAAATGTAAACTATCCAGCTTTAAATGTGGACTTCAGTGCATTTAGGTATTACTGACATGAATTTCTGAAAAGCTGCTATAGAAATAAAATTGACTTGTGTATCTGTAAGAGCAGGAGTCTCCATTTAACTTGAATGTGCGAGGCTTCTGGTATCATCCGCTTCCATTTATTTTTAGCTGTACAAAACAGCTTGTTATGCTGCTTGATACTGCATACTGGTATTTCTTATTTCGTAATATTTTAATTTATTCTCGGAATTATAAACACATTGAATCATAGCACAAATAGTTTTACTGTTTACTGCACCAGTTATTTTAGTTGTTTACCAATCACAGCTAATAAATTGGAAGTTTTGCACGACCACAGAAAATAGCTTACTTCCGTGTTGCACAATATTAGATAATCCCTCCTCTAATTCTGAAGATAAACTTCTCTAAAGTCTTTTTGATGTTTGTCATGATGTCTAAGTAAGAAAAAAAATGATTTAAATAAAAGCCTACAGTGTAGACCTCATATGTTCAATCATGTTGAGAGATTCCTATTAAACAAATCGAGTTGCATAAATTGTGTTGCACCTACTTGATTATGCAATCATTTAGTCAAATACTCTTAATCCGTTTTCAGACAGGAAGGCTTCTAGAAATAACCTGATCGCATCAAAGAGAGCTGCCTCCACGGACAATAAATAACACCCAGAAACCAGTGATATAAATCTATGGACGTGGAAAGCATTTGTTACTGTGAAAATCTGTACTTTCTCATCATAGTGAATCTAGCTGTCAGGAATGACAAAATGCTCTTTTGTAAAGCTCTTGTGACTATCATGCATGGCTATCTTAAATAATTAATAGTGTTGACATCAGTCAGGTTGGTCCATACCCTGACTTACCTGAAAGGATATGGGATCCTTTGATCTGTCCTCCGTATTATCATTCTCATCCTCATTTTCATAACTTCCTGTCGCTAAGTAACCCTCGTCAGGCCAAGGGAAGATGCCGTAGCTGCCCCCACATCAAGTAGGGAGAAAGCCGAATTCTCTGTACCACAGAAGAGGGCCAGACCTCCCACTTTAAGACAATTCTGTTACATGGCATAGCTCATCTAATGCCTTTCCACGTTGTTAAAGAACATGTTCCAAAAGACCCAAAGCCATTAGGTTTCTCATGATCCACGGCAGTTTCACATCTCTGGTTAGCAGGTACCCTAACAAAAGGAACTTAAACAGAAGACAACAAATGAGAGCAGCACTTGGTGAAGAGGGCAGAAAAGGGATTACACTTGTGCATGTCCCATCGAGTCTGATCCCCCAGTGGTTTAGTGCACTTCACAGGCTTAGGACAGATTAAACACAGGATGTGTGCGCCTGTCGTTCACAGCCACAAGTGTGTCATGTGAGCGATATTTTGAATAAAGTGGATGCGTTTATAGAGTTCAATATACAAAACTTCACCAGTCAAATGTGGTTAACTTTAATACTTTTTACTTAAAAGTGTAATTTCTATACCTAGAAAAGTCATGTAAATTAATGTTTTTGTTGTTGTTTTAAATAATATATATGTAATTTTATCAGTCAATTTTAGTAAAAATATTTAAAGAAATATTTTTTTCTTAATTCTTATCCAGGAAACCATTAATGACTGGAAAAGTCGTGTAAATTCACTGGTTAAAAAGGTTGGGATCCATGAAAAACATTCAGCTCTTAAAACTTCTGAAACATTATTATTTTAATCAAATAATTAAACTATTAAAATTATTTAATTGCAATAATTTTACTTATAATTATTTAATTAAATGATTTCTTTTTAAATGTATATTATTTAATTACAATTATTTGAATTATAATTATTGTAGTTACCTACTTTAATCTGGTTCCATTGTCATTTCAGCCAATATTGTGTATAGGGGTGCTTGGAGTCAAAAAGCTGAAGAACCACTGATGTACAGGTGCATCTCAATAAATTAGAATGTCGTGGAAAAGTTCATTTATTTCAGTAATTCAACTCAAATTGTGAAACTCGTGTATTAAATAAATTCAGTGCACACAGACTGAAGTAGTTTAAGTCTTTGGTTCTTTTAATTGTGATGATTTTGGCTCACATTTAACAAAAACCAATAAAATAAAACCAATAAAAAAAACATTTTTAGTGAATAGTTGGCCTTCTGGAAAGTATGTTCATTTACTGTACATATACTCAATACTTGGTAGGGGCTCCTTTTGCTTAAATTACTGCCTCAATTCGGCGTGGCATCGAGGTAATCAGTTTGTGGCACTGCTGAGGTGGTATGGAAGCCCAGGTTTCTTTGACAGTGGCCTTCAGCTCATCTGCATATTTTGGTCTCTTGTTTCTCATTTTCCTCTTGACAATACCCCAGAGATTCTCTATGGGGTTCAGGTCTGGTGAGTTTGCTGGCCAGTCAAGCACACCAACACCATGGTCATTTAACCAACTTTTGATGCTTTTGGCAGTGTGGGCAGGTGCCAAATCCTGCTGGAAAATGAAATCAGCATCTTCAAAAAGCTGGTCAGCAGAAGGAAGCATGAAGTGCTCCAAAATTTATTGGTAAACGGGTGCAGTGACGTTGGTTTTCAAAAAACACAATGGACCAACACCAGCAGATGACATTGCACCCCAAATCATCACAGACTGTGGAAACTTAACACTGGACTTCAAGCAACTTGGGCTATGAGCTTCTCCACCCTTCCTCCAGACTCTAGGACCTTGGTTTCCAAATGAAATACAAAACTTGCTCTCATCTGAAAAAAGGACTTTGGACCACTGGGCAACAGTCCAGTTCTTCTTCTCCTTAGCCCAGGTAAGACGCCTCTGACGTTGTCTGTGGTTCAGGAGTGGCTTAACAAAAGGAATACGACAACTGTAGCCAAATTCCTTGACACATCTGTGTGTGGTGGCTCTTGATGCCTTGACCCCAGCCTCAGTCCATTCCTTGTGAAGTTCACTCAAATTCTTGAATCGATTTTGCTTGACAATCCTCATAAGGCTGCAGTTCTCTCGGTTGGTTGTGCATCTTTTTCTTCCACACTTTTTCCTTCCACTCAACTTTCTGTTAACATGCTTGGATACAGCACTCTGTGAACAGCCAGCTTCTTTGGCAATGAATGTTTGTGGCTTACCCTCCTTGTGAAGGGTGTCAATGATTGTCTTCTGGACAACTGTCAGATCAGCAGTCTTCCCCATGATTGTATAGCCTAGTGAACCAAACTGAGAGACCATTTTGAAGGCTCAGGAAACCGTTGCAGGTGTTTTGAGTTGATTAGCTGATTGGCATGTCACCATATTCTAATTTGTTGAGATAGTGAATTGGTGGGCTTTTGTTAAATGTGAGCCAAAATCACCACAATTAAAAGAACCAAAGACTTAAACTACTTCAATCTGTGTGCATTGAATTTATTTAATACACAAGTTTCACAATTTGAGTTGAATTACTGAAATAAATAAACTTTTCCACGACATTCTAATTTATTGAGATGCACCTGTAATTCCATTCCACTTGATCAAAAGCTTTTTCTGCATCGAATGCAATAATTACCAATTTAGAGTGAGATTTTTGTTTGGAATAGATTATATTTAGAAAACGTCTGACATTGAAAAAGGAGAATCTATTAGGGACAAAGCCGACCTGGTCGGGGTGAATAATAGTTAAAATGCATTGGTTTAATCTAGTTGCCAAAATTTTGGGGAACACTTTTAAATCAGTATTAAGAAGAGCAATTGGATGAAAAGAGGACACATTAGTCTCATCCTTGCCTTTCTTAAGAAGTAAAGAAATATTGGCAAAGTAGAGAGAAGGAGGAAATTTCTGCTTACAAAAGGAATGATTGAACATCCACAACATAAGGGGTGCAATTTTACCAGCATATTGCTTATAAAATTCGATACAAAAGCCATCAGGGCCAGGAGCCTTCCCGTTGGGGAAGGCATTAAACGCATCCAGTATCTCTTGAATAGTAATCTCTTGAATAGTAATGTTAGCATTCAACATTTCTGGTCAGCCTCACTTAATTTTGGAAGGGAAAGCGAATGAAGAAATACTACAATAGCTTCCGAAGATACAGATGTCTTGGATTTGTACAAATCTGCATAGAATTCCATAAAGCGATTATTAATGTCCTTTTAATTTTTTAATAATAAAAAGTCACAATTTTACCATCCTTATCAGCAATATGATGAATTGATCTGCTAGCATACGGACCCCTTAACTGCTGAGCTAATAGTTTATCTGGTTTATCCCCAATCTCGAAATGTCTTTATTTAATTTTTAGCAACGTCTTATTCACCTGATCCAAAGTAATCGTATTGTATTCATATTTAAATGACATAATATAATTTAAGACACACAAGTCTGCGGTATCCCTATATAATTTTCCCAGTTGGGTAAGACGGGCATCTATCTCCACTAAGCGTTTTTGTCTAAGTTTCTTTGCTGCTGACTCATAGGAAATGATATGTCCCCTCATTACTACTTTAAAAGTTTCCCATAACACAGAGTCAGAAACATCACCTTTATCATTGATCTCAATAAACTCTGTCAAAGAATCTGAAATATGCTGGCAAAATTTCACATCTGAAAGGGGGTAAGTATTAAATCTCCAATCATAACTTGGCTTTGCTCAACCAAAGTCAAAAGATACCGTAACAGCGGAATGATCAGAGATCAGTTGTGGTATTTAGATGCAGAAATGTCAGGTAATAATTTAGAGTCTATAAAGAAATAATCTATTCTTGAATATGATTTATGGACATGAGAAAAGAAAGAGTACTCCTTACATCTTAATATATATTGAGGTATATAAAACATAACTTTATTCTAACGTTCTGCTAATGTTATTCTAGCCTAACCCAATTCATCATGTTTTTTGATGATTTTTCTGCATTGGTATGTAGTTATTCATAAATAAAGCAGTAAATCTATATAAATAAATCAGTCCACAATCCATATCTTTGTTGATCCATTGTTTTATTGTTGATATAAAATAGCATAAGCCATGAAATACTTCCAAAACATTTAATTATCAAGTATATAAAAATAAACATGCAGAGGTGCAAGTATATTAAGCTACGATACAGCTTGAACAAATAAATTACAGTACTTTAACTATAAATTACCTATAACTATAAAGTACTACTATAACAACAAAACATGACCGGCAGAGAGTTCATAGGTGGCCTCCTTGGCCGGAACAGGACAGACAGAGAGTTCATAGATGGGTACCACTGAAACCTCTGGAGGTTCTGCAGTTGTAACATCAGGAAACAGGGAGAAGTCAGTAATGGTCTCTTCGACCACAACATGACAGGCTGAGAGTACATCGCTGGGCGCCACCACCACGCAAGGAGCTGAAGCGAGCGCCTCCACCTCGGGAGGTTCTGTGGTGGTGTATGCAGCCCAAACACACCATAAAACGATCCCCATCAAGGGAAGCGCTTCAGACAGGGGAATCAGTTCAGGAACAGGAGGGCTAGAGTGAGTGGGTTTGGGGATACCAGCTGCGCGTGCAGACACCAGCGGTGCATCCCTCACACTGGATACCAGACTGGGATACCGAAGGACTGACCTTGATAATCTGGGTGCAACAGATAGGACGTGACAAGACGCTGGATGAACAGCTGAGACGTGACATGACTCTGGAAGATCAGCTGATATGTGACGAGATTCTGGAAGATCAGCTGTGACGTGACGTGACTCTGGACGAACTGCTGAGACGTGGCGAGACTCTGGATGAACAGCTGAGACGTGGCGAGACTCTGGCAAATCAGCTGAGACTTGACTTGACTCAGCAATGGAAGCTGTGACTTGAGTTGACTCATGAAGATCAGCTGTGATTTGACTTGATTCAGGAAGATCAGCGGTAACTGGACTTGACTCAGGAAGATCAGCTGTGACCTGACTTGACTCATGAAGATCAGCTGTGACTTGACTAGATCCATGAATATCAGCTGCGACTTGACTTGACTCCTGAAGATTAGCAGTGATCTGACTTGACTCATGATAATGAACTGTAACTTGACTTGACTCAT